CGGGCAAAATACAGAAAGCGGCAGCTTATGCTGCCTTGAGTTTTCTCTCTCCATCTCTCCAGTTTCCAGACTGATGTGGCTCTTGTCACACCTCTGAAAACCAGCATCAGCAGGAACCGGGCTAACTGATCTCCTCAAGTATAAACTCAGGATGTTAATGCATTTTTATGTTGGCAGTTGTTTTAGAAACTAGGAAGGACGGACATCACTTGTCATTCTTTCCTTGATTTGGCAGAAACAAACACATCACTGCAGGCAGCATTACCAGAAAGAAACAGTGGCTTTGAGGCAGACACACATCCATCCTAAGCGATGGCACGTATTTTGAGGTAGAACACACTGCTCAGCAGCTGACACTACTCTTCTGCATAGTTGGCAGTACAGTCACTCCAAGCCTGGGGACTGTTTCCTTTTCGTGAAAATGTTTTGATAGGAAAACTCTAACTAAGGTACTTGGAATGTGGAACACTCAGAGCTCCTTCGGGGATTCCTTTTCCTGGAATTGAGGTGCTTTGAATCACTGTTCTCACGGGCACTTGCTTCCTGGTATCTCAGTGGTCACTGACTAGCGACGGGCTCCCCTTTTGGTCCTAAAGTGGGAAGGACATTAGCAGGAGGGCCTCATTTCAAGGACCAGAAATGTCTGGGCTGGTAAAGGACACAGGTATTGTCAAAGTGAGCACAGAGCGGATGTCCTCAAACCATTCACTAAGGAGGGCTTTATTGGGTCCTTACATACCTGCAATGTATGCAGAATTCTAGTGTGTGTGTGTGTGTGTGTGTGTGTGTGCTTGGGGAGAGGGAACACAGCCTTTACTGAATTGTCAAAGGGATATTAGGACCCAGACGGTTAGGAAGCACTGGAAAGATGAATCAAACATAATTTAAAGTACTCTGATGGCTCTGGCCTGATATTTCCACAAATTGTTCCTGCACTCCATTGTACGTCAAAGAGCAGCGTAGTGACATGGACAGAATGTCTGCCTGGCATTTAGGTGACAACTATGAATCTTGGTGTCTTCAATGCAAAGTTGTCATCTGGTAGAAGGACGAAATCAGATACCATGGATGGAAAGCCCGGCAGAGTGCCCTGAATCAGAGAAGGGCTCGTGTATATGAGGTTCCTTCCCCACTCACTCTTTCCAACAGAATGTATGCCCATTGAGGGCAGGACAATGTCTTCTTTAAAGTTCTTTGTTGTTGTTGTTGTTGTTGTTGTTAAACTTGTCTTGCTTTTTCATATGTATAAGCCAATTTCCATTTAATGCGTGCAAGCTGACAGTAGTTTTTGTGGAATATAACTATTTGGATGCATTTCCCCTAGATTTGTCATTATGTAAGGAATTTAAACAACTCATTTGGGGTGTGCACGTATATTCCGAGCCTAACTTGGTCACTGGACAAAGTAGGTAGATGTGTACCCTAGGAGATGATAACCAATTCCTTCACTAAAGTCAATTTGCTGAGTATCTACTATGCATATATGTAGCAAGACACGGCGCTATGAGCTGCAGGCAATGAAAAGCGGTCAGTCCTGCTCTCCAAGGCTGTTTTATAAGAGCACAGCATGTTCACACTGAAGGGTAGATCAAGAAAGATACAGAGTGCCACAGGAATTTAAACAAGGGAGAAAACATCTGATTTGGGGAGCATGGGTGTGGGGACGGCTTCAGGGGCGGGGTGGTGCAGGATGTGAGCGAGGCTTCCACACGCAGCAGGTGAGCGGAAGGAGCAAACGAAGACACGTAGGCCTGAATCACGGGGCACACACGGGAAATAATGACCACTTGGTTCAGACGGGCCCCGGGGGACTTTTCAGGGATTAGTGAGAAACTAGAGAAAGGGTTATCACAGCTCCTGACACATAAGACTTTTTAATCACTTTAAAGCACACGTATTTAACAACTAACATAAAAAAGAACTTAAAAATACAGACACAATGAACAGGCAGAAGTGTTACAGACACCTGGCAATCAAGAGGCTACGGACAGCTTTCAAAATAGTACTTTTTCTACCTACTCTCAAGTGGCACTGGTTAAATAAGAATGACATTTTTATTTCAGCCTTATTATTTGGTGTTGTTTTTTTTGTTTTTGTTTTTTTCTTTCTTTCCCATTGTTCAAAATCTCAAGATAAGGCCGTAGCTCATGGTGCTCATGCAGCACCAGAGATGCCTTGGTTATGGGAGGGAACTTGGACTCCCAAATTTGTACTCTCCAGGCACATGGACCACCACCAGCCTGAAAGCTTTTATGGGGTTGGAAAGCAATAGATTGACTTCAGTTCCATCCTGTCAAACCTACGAAAGTGCCTTGGTTCATTTAACATCTAATAGTGCACATCGTTTTCTTTTCCCTTCTCCATTTCTGAACACCAGGCCATTAATTTCTCCTTTCCCTGGGAGACGGTGAAAGAAAGGGAAATAAAAGCATAAATCAGTTTCAGTCACGAAATCCTACTACGTCGATTTCTTTTCAGGGCTCTGAATCTAGATACTTCCCTCAGACGTTGTTTAAATAGAACAAAGTCCATATTCAGGAACCCCTTACATTTAGTGATCTTCCTCAGTTGCACCAAACTGAAAAACTAAATTTTCTAACTTGTTTTCTTTCTTCCTGAAAAGGCTTCTCCAGTCCCTAACTTCCCCAGTCCAGAACTTAGTGGATTCATTCTCATTTGTAAAGTTACTGCCAGGGACAATGCCAGCTTAGGCACCAGCAGTTCCCTAATCGTGACCCATCTATTGACCAAGATTTCAGTTTCTTTGGAAGCCAAGTAATAGACACGTTCCTTTTCTAACCATCATTAGGATATCCTCACGCACTCTTCACTGGGAAGATGCCTCTCACAAGTACAGAAATTTGTGTTGTGCTTATGATCAATCACACTCCTCTGTGTTTCACCTACCTTGGGTAATTTCTTCCAAATGAATTATTGTTTTAATATTTGTTACTACTTAATGTTTAGGATAATTATGTATATAGTTTACTCTTTCAAGATTAGGAAAAAAAAGGTGACAGGGTGAAGGGTTTTATTGTTCTTGTTCTTTGTTCCCCCTTCTAATTGGAATGCTTGAGTCAAAATTCTAGACTCTTGAAAAATTTCAATTTTAAGCCAAAATCACACTCAACAAGAACAAGAATAACAAGCCCAGCATGAAATCGGCCCTGAGGGGTTCATGATCCCAGGGAACAGTTCTGGAGAGGCTGCTTGGCGTGGGATTTGCCCACCCTCTCCACTCCCTCTGCCTCATACACTGAAGGTGGAGACAAAGAAACCAACTCAAATCCTTCTAAAGTGTATTTTATAAAGAGAGAACATAGAATCAGAAAAACATTAATAATAGTATATAATAGAATGAATGTGAGCTTTTAAAACCAGGGTCTTTGTCTAAAAGCAACATTTAAAAAGGAAGGTAAGCAGAGGTCCATTTTTAGCTATAAACCCTGCTCTCCTTGTTCACTGATCTCCTGTTCTAATTTGCTAAAATGAAATTACATGGCCCTTGAGTCAGAATGTCTCTCTAATGTCAAGTTTAAAGATAACAGATCTCCTTTTCTGCAGAATATTGGCACACAGACTCCCCACAGTCTGGCTCGTTGCAACTGCTCGCTGCTGGAGAAGCGGCAGGTTGGAGTCCCCGTCACAGCCATCTTAACCATTTCAAAGCATAGTACTTATATGTGCAGCCCTAGGGGGCAACAGGAACAGGCAGGGGCTCAGCAGCAGGGCTCTGTGGGGAACCCCTCCCACAAGGGGTAAGCACTCCTCCAGGGGAGGCTAACTTGAACAAATAGCCGCAGGCTTATTCTGGCCAGCTCCGCTGGCTTTCTGAGTGCCTGCGGGGGAGTCTTCTTGGAAACTCCGTTGAGGTTACTGGGGAACCTGAGGACTAAGTCACTGATTGCTTTTGGGGGAGGACTTGCCCAAACCTGACCCAGCTAGCTGTCTCCCAACCTAGCTGGACAAAAAAAGCTTCAAGAATAACAGGAGAGACTGACATGTACATTTCTACTCCCACCTAAGCCTGCGCACAGGGCCAGCTGTGTGGGTATGGCCTCCTCTCTCACCCCCACAGATTCTGCCTTCCTGGAACCCTTTCTGACAGCCAGCGACTACACTACAGTGAAGGAGTTACCACAAACCATGTTGGTATTGGGCTGAAAACAGAATTTCTGATGCCATGTACTTGGGAGAGGGCCAAAGGTAACAGTATATAGAGAGACTACTGCAACTGGGGTAGGGCACTGTCCTTTCTGGGTCTTTGACAAAATCATTCAGGGAATAGAGGTGGTGAGTAAGAGCTGACAAAGGTTGACCTGTGAATGGGCACAGCATTCCCCACCCCGCAAAAAAAAAAAAGAAAAAGAAAAAAGAAATCAATAGAGTGACTGACAGAGAAGATAAGATGGTAAAAGAAGGAAGCGCAGACAGGTGCTGCTCAACCCAGCTGAACTGCAGGAGATGAGAGGTGTCTCCTGTGGCCTGAGACTTCCCTAGGGCTCAGGACTGAAGTGGGTGCTGGGCACTGACATCTGCACAGACCCATTCTCCTAGCTGGGAAGGGAGAGGCCGGAGTCCGCGAGGAGAGGAAGATTTCTGATTGCTTCCCAAGGCTGCTGCCAAGGACCTGCTGCTCCCAAGCCAGAAGAGACCCGAGCGAAGGCTGCAGGTACCCAGGTGCAAGTACAACTCCAATTATTGTGCATTTGGAACCTCTTCCATGTCTAAGGAGTCTGGCACCGGAGCCTGGCACCGACGTGGGCCGTTATCTTTAAGCATAAAGAGGCTGCCGGCCCTCTTGTCTGCCCGGTAACACCGCTCCTCCAATCTCAGGCACTAGGCTGATTCACATCGCAATTCCAGTTGTTGCTCCTTTTCCCATGCGGAGTGCCGCAGAGACAGTGCCCTCGTCTGCACGGCAAACCCCATTATTAGCCGAGCGGAAAGCACCAGCAAGCGCCAGCAAGGCCAAGGATAATAATAGCCGGGCAGCTTACCTTCTCCGGATCTAGTCCGCGCGCCCCGGGCCGCACCCGGCTGCAGAGTCGCTGCCGGTGCGCGCCGGTCACCGTGGCCCGCACCCCACCTGCCGGCTGCAGCAGCTGCTCGGTTGCCTAGACCGCCTGCATGAAGTCATCCCTGCCCTGGGCGGATCGCCACATTCCGCGCCAGCCGTGGGGGGAGAGGGAGCTCCCCAGGCCGCAGGGAAGGGCGCCTGGGAACGGAGGCCCACCGCCGCTACCCCTCCCGGATTTAGGCTAATTTTCTATTAATGCTTCTACGGAGGAAACGTGGCGGGATTGTGGCCGGAGAGAGAAGAGCCGGAGTGACTTTCTCTGCAAAGCGCCTTCCTCCGAGCGCGCCCCTGTCACCAGGGCTGCATGGACAGCTCCATTCCTCCTTGTGGGTTTCCCACCCAGTTCACCCTGTATTGTTCATTTCGCCGATTTCGATTCTGGGTTGTCTTTTAAGCTAAACATTCAAATGATCCGGAATGTTTTAAATTGGCCATACATTTCTCTAAGGCCCTGGTGACACGCTCCAGCCTCCCCCGATACACACAAGTAGGCACACACATACACACGGCCAAAGCGCTCACAATTGTGAAAGCTGGGACCTCTAGCCCTCTCGCCTACGTCATGGAAGGGAAACTCCCAAAGCAGTGGAGGGGCGGGAGGACTCGAGGAAGCAGCCCAGGAAGCAGAGAGGGGTCACCCCAAGATTTGTTGCTGTTCAGTGGGGCACTTAGTGGACAGATGTTCCCTCTGACATACCCCTCACCCCCACCTTACCCCTCAGGCTGGCTGCACTGCTAACAGCTGTAACAGTTGGAAACCAAGAAGCAGAATCCACATTAACAGATGACTTTCTCTTTCGGGAAGGATTTACCAGAATTGGCCTTAAGAACAAGATGAGCATACAGGCATATAAGCCCCCTCCTTCTCTCTTTAAATAGCCACTAGAATTAACAGACCTGTGCCGTGTTCCCCCTTCCCCCTTCTCCTCTGCTGACCCCATCAATAGTTTGAGGTTTGAAGAAAGTGAACAACAAACGAACAAAGCCAAGGACTTGCTGTCTTACCGCTGAGCCAGGGTTCTTTTCAGGATGCTGAGATCCTGGGGGGCAGAGAGGGTCCTTCATTCTAGGGTTCTGTGTGAGTGGATTTCCCTCATTGACTGAGCTTGCTTTTGGACCTGTCACCTGGTCCAGTCTGGCCTTACAATGTGGGTTTGACCAGGAATTTGAACAGTGCATTACACTCACCAAGGAGGAGCCTTTGCTCCATGAAGTGTTCCCATCCCTCTGTTTACCAGCCCCACAGTGGGAGGTAGTGCAGCCAACAGGGTTCCAGCAAGGCTCCGCAGGCATTCTTGGCACGAGAGTGTACACTTTTTGAAAGCTAGAACAACCTAATTTATCTCTCTGAACTCCACTCTCATAAGATTAGGCAATTAATAGCAATATAGCTCAGAGGGTCCCTAGTTTGTACGGAAGGGGTAGGTGAGATCTAGGTGGAAATGTGACATCTTTTGTTTCACTAACCTTCTTTAAATATACATGCAAACAACAAACCACAATAATATTAGGAGTACTTGTGACTTTGTCACCAATGGAAGAAAAAGACAAAAATGAAAGATGTTAAATGTCAGGAATTAATATCTTAGCATCTCTGAGCAGATAGAGTGTCCGATTCAGATACCGTATCATGACAAAAGGCATAGGCAAGCCAGAAAGGAAAAGATAGAGAAATGAGAAATGTCTTATGTCAACACCTAGGGTTTGAATCTGTCTTCTTGGGACTGGACATGTACCAACAGGCCAGATCATTTAATCAGTAGAGACCAGTGTGAGGTGAAAGAGATCAATTTTTTACTCTATGACCTTTTATTGCACAATCCTTTAAAAAACTAACCTTTGGATCATGACTCTGAGGTCTGCAATGCTTCCTTTCTGATATTCTGAAATTAGGGATCAAATGGCTTAATAAGATCATGAATCTCAGCAAGGGACCTGGTGAAACCAGAGCCAGAGGCCCTGTGTGCCTGAAGCTGTCAGCCAGTATTAGATCCACTCTTTGGGTGAGGGAGTCCTTCCAGAAGAGGCTCATTTAAATGCAAATATGTTATCAAGAGGGGTAACCAAGTATTGAGTATCTCATTAGCAGCTATTAACAATTTAGCAGAGATTAGCATCTCAGATTTATCATGGAGAGGAGTTGTCAGGGTGATGTGGCTCAAGTATCTGTCACCAGTGACTGCCAGGTCTCCTGCTCTCATCACTCCATAGGGGTCTGCCTAAAGCTGGGGACTTGGGCACTTTGTGCATGACCGTCAATATTGTTTTAAATAGCTTTGACATATGAAAAAGTGTAGGAGGAGAATTTCTACAATACTAGTGTGTGAGTGGTGTGTGTGTGTGTGTGTGTGTGTGTGTGTGTGTGGTGGTTGGCTTGGGTTGATTCATTGTGCTCTACAGAAATCTTACAGTTTTGTGACAAATGTCTGTTCTTCACTGAAGTTAGAAAGCATATCATGTAAAATAGATGTAATTTAGGGACAGCAAGGCTATGGTGATAGACTTAGATTGGCATTCAAGTAACTAGAGACAGGCTAGGACTTTTCTGCATTAATATGAAAGCACTGATACTGGCAAACACTCACTTATAAAGGTTGGTGTTAGGTTTTGAATAGTGTAAGCAGGTATAACAGACAAGGGACAATGAAAGAAGGGGAAGTCACCACACACAGAATAGAAACAGTTTTTGTAGGCATTGATGAGAATGCACCTTGTTTTGGTAAGGAGTTGACATATAATGCCAGATCTGTATAATACACTTCCTGTTCTGTAATTGGAACTCCATATTTTATTGTGAGATGCATATTTACTTAAGTGAAATGCTTAGCAGATTGTGTAAGATACAGTCAATAGTGTGGCATAAATGATTCTCAGATAAACTTTTTAATCATCATTAAGTCATGAAGCAAAACAATCTAGTTAGGTGATGCTTTTCATATTTTTGTAACCTCAAATTTTTATTTATTTATTTATTTTTTTGTGGTATGTGCCCCTAGCGGGAACTGAACCTGGGACTCTCTGGTCCACAGGCCGATGCTCAACCGCTGAGCCAAACTGGCCAGGGTGTAAACTCAAATTTTATAAAGAATCTGACAAAACCAATAAATTTTCTGCAGAAAAGTACCCTTTAATGAAAATGTTTCTTTTGTGATGAATAGATTATTAAATAGTGTTTATAAAAAATTGTGTTTTTAGTCCAGCTGTTGTGGCTCAGTGGTTGAGCGTTGACCCATTTACCAAGAGGTCGCTGGTTCAAGGTTTGATTCCCAGTCAGGACACATGCCCAGGTTGTGGGCCCAGTCCTTAGAGGGGGGCATGCAGGAGGTGGCCAATTGTTTTCTCTCATCGATGTTTCTTTCTCTCCCTTTCACTTCTTCTCTCTCTAAAAATCAATAAAGGAAAAAAAAAATTTTTTTAAGTTATATTGTTGCTAAAAATGTTTAAAAAAGAATTGTGTTTTTATAATTTTTTTATTTGTTAATGAAAAAGGAATATTTAATTCCTCAAATCTAATGTAGGCTAATAAAATAGAGGGCATTTAAATTTGATTAAAAAGTGCCCTGGCCGGTTTGGCTCAGCGGTTAGAGCGTCGGCCTGCGGTCCTGAGAGACCCGGGTTCGGTTCCCGCTAAGGGCACGTACCTCGGTCGCAGTTTGTCCCCGGCCCTGGTCGGTTGTGCGGGTGGCAGCCACTCGATGTGTCCCTTTCACATCGATGTTTCTCTCTCTCTCTCTGTTCCTCTCCCCCCCTCCCCACTCTATCTGAACAAAAAATGGAAAAATGTCCTCGGGTGAGGATAAAAAAAAAAAATTGATTAAAAAGTAAGTTTCAATGAACTGTGTTTGGTCAGTATCATTCATTCGGCAGATATTGATGCAGTATCCTAGGCACTGGAGATAGGAGTGAGCAAATAAGTGTCTTCCTCATTACTCGTGTGCTCCTGTGGAAGGAGGTGACCATGTACATAAACAGCATGGTAGTTGGGGGGAAGGGTCGTGAAGGAGCAGTGTCACAGTGCAGGGTGGGGACAATTATATAGGGCAGTCAAGGGGCGTCTGAGCAGAAATGTGAAAGGGGTGTGGGGGAAAACCATAAAAATACGTCGAGGAAGAGGTTTGGCATAGTCAGGTAGGTGGGCTTATACTTTATGTGTTCCGGGAACTGGAAGTTTTATTTGTAGTACAATGATCGAAGAGGGGAACTGTTAGAAGATGAGGTTAGACAAGTAGGTGCATGAAAAACTATTTAGAGCCGTTGGTCAAGAGAGAGCTTTAGGTGGTTAGGGGTTCGTGTTTGGACATGCTAAGCATGTATTGTCAGGTCTCAGTGGAGATGGAAAGCAGACAACTGATATACCAGTCTGAAATTCAGGAACGAGAGATGTCATGGCTGTAGATGACATTTGCGAATCATCATGTATTTATAGTTTTAGACCAGATGAAGTCACTTTGGAAGTAAGTTTAGGCAGAGAATAGATGATGTTGGAGGCATGGGACACTGCAGTGTCCAGAGGACCTGGCCGAGGGCATATGCAGAAGTGATTGGGGAGATGAGAAGAGTTGTGTCAGAAGCCAAGTGGACAGCTATTGGAAGAGGGAGTGACTATTAGTCCTATGCTTTCAGCAGATTAAGATGAAAACTGATCACTTAGTGCAGGCTTTGGCACCATACAGATAACTAACAACCTTGAAAAGAATAGTTTCTGTGCAGTGGAAGGGACCAAAATCAGTAAATGGGACAAAGAGGTGAAAACATTAGGCAGAGCTACTTTTTAAAGTTGTTTTACTCAAGGAAAGAGGAGCAGAGCAATGGGACAGTGATTAGAATGGGATATGAGAACAAAGAAAGGAGTTGTTGTTTTTTTTTTCCTTTAAGATGGGAGGTATTACGTCTTTGCAAGCAGATGGGAACATCGAGTAGAGAGCAAATAATTGATGGTGCAGGAACGCGAAGACACAAGAGAAGATAAATCCTTGATTAGGCCAGAACAGAGAG